ATATACAGATATTGATCGACTTACGACCTATGCAACTTACGACCATTCGACTTTACGACCACAATCGCTAGCCACAACTGCTCCGCGTCTGGCAGCGCAAACGTTGCCCAGCTGGGCGGACGACAGTGCGGACCAGCTTCCGGCAGCACTACCATCTCCGCGTGCACCATTTCAACTGTTATCCCAGACTCGGTACAGCAATTTGTGTTTTGTGTCTTGGATATTTCTCATCAAACCCCTCCCAATAAACTTCTTATACATTTCGAAGCAATGGACCCAAACATCGAACGATTTGCAAGGATTGAATGGATGACGCACGATGTGTTTCGTCTGTATCGTGAAATTTATGAAGAAAAAAAACATACAATTCAGAGAAAGCTCACCATGTTTATGAAAAAACCAACTCCGGTAACCCCAACTGCTGCCTCAGATGACGACATCAACGATCCGCAGCCAAGCACCAGCGGCCAATCAAACGTTTCGTACGTTTATATATTTTGATATGTTTTGCAATTGAGAAAATGTTTCCTATGGTATTTTTTACACCTGTATTTTGTATTTTTGTATGCACCTGTATTTTGTAATTTTGTATGTTTTACAAATATTAAACCAGTTGTACTGGTAATGCAGTGTTTTACTTAAACCTGATGAATGTAAAAATAAGAAACAAAATGGTGTAGAGATGATACAAATGGCATAAAATGAACAAAGAAAATTATGATATATAACAATAATGAAAGAAAATTATGATAAAATATGACTTAAAGATTTTTATAACATCATTTCACAGTACTGTACATATAGCCTACTCAACTTACGACCAAATCATGTTACGACCAGTCTGTCGGAACCAATTGTGGTCGTAAGTCGAGCACTAGCTGTATAAGTTGGAGCAAACAATAGACACAGCAAAAAGCCTGGGAGGAAAGGCTCAAGAGGGAGATGTTTTGGGGAAATAAAAGTTTTCAAATGCTTTCACAGGTTTCTGGAAATCCAGACCATGTATATTAACAGTTCAGGATGCAGGTTCAGAAAAGTGGCTGAGTGCTTGGTCATGGTGGCTCACATCTGTAATCCCAGTATTTTGGGAGGCTCAGGTGGGTGGACCACTTGAGGTCAGGAGTTTAAGACCAGCTTGACCAACGTGGTGAAAACCTGTCTCTACTAAAAATACAAAAATTAGCTGAGCATGGTGGTGGGTGCCTGTAATCCCAGCTACTTGGGAGGCTGAGGCAGGAGAACTGCTTGAACCCAGGAAGTGGAGTTTGCAGTGAACTGAGATTGCACTCCAGTCTGGGAGACAAGAGTGAAACTTTGCCTCAAAGGAAAAGAAAAAAAGGGCCGGGCATGGTGGCTGATGCCTGTAATCCCAGCACTTTGGGAGGGCGAGGCAGGTGGATCACCTGAGGCTGGGAATTTGGGAGTTTGAGACCAGCCTGACCAACATGGAGAAACCCTGTCTCTACTAAAAATACAAAATTAGCCAGACATGGTGGCTCAAGCCTGTAATCCCAGCTACTCCGGAGGCTGAGGCAGGAGAATTGATAATCACTTGAAACCAGGAGGCAGAGGTTGCGGAGAGCCAAGATAGCGCCATTGCACTCCAGCCTGGGCAACAAGAATGAAACTCCATCTCAAAAAAAAAAAAAAAAAATTGGGAGGTTGAGGTGGGTGGATCACGAGGTCAGGAGATTGATACCAACCTGGCCAACACCGTGAAACCCCATCTCTACTAAAAATACAAAAATTAGCTGGGTTTGGTGGCAGGTGCCTATAATCCCAGCCACTCCGGAGGCTGAGGCGAGAGATTCACTTGAACCCGGGAGGTGGAGGTTGCAGTGAGCTGAGATTGTGCCACTGCATTCCAGCCTGCCGACAGAGCAAGGCACCATCTCAAGAAAGAAAAAAGAAAGAAAAAGACATCTGAGAAATTCCTAAGCTCTCATCTCTGGCTGAGCTTGAAGTCCTGGGCCAGCAGGACATGAAGGTGAAGGCAGAATTGGAAACTGACCAGTTGAATATTACAGGTGTGCCCAACACAAAGAGCCCAACTGCAAAGACTAGGAGATTTTTTTTTCTTGCTCCAGGTGTTTAAGAAAATGAAATATCTGTCAAAACATTAGGTGGACACTAAGCTAACAATACAGATACTTTAGTGACTACACATGACAGAGTTTAGAAATGTCATTAAACATATAAACTAAAAAACTCACACAACTGTAACAACAAGCAGAAACAATTCTGATTTTCAGAGTTACATTATAATCTTCAAAATGTCCATTTCTCACCAAAATTATGAGACATACAAAGAAACAAAGCCTGGCTTGTTCCCAGGGAGAAAAAAAGAAATGAACAGAAACGCTGTCCTTGAAGAAGCTCAGATATAGGACTTACTATTCAGCTGTCTTAAATATACCTCAAAAAGCTAAAGGAAACCATAGAGAAAAAAGTTAAAGCAGGTGGACAATATCTCAATAACCAGAGAACATCAATCAATCAATAAAAATTATAAAAAGGAACCACATAGATATCTAGAACTGAAGATAATAATTAAAATTAAAAATTCACTAGAGTTCAACAGCAGGTTTGACGAGGCAGAAGAATCAGCAGACTTAAAGACAGTACAATTGATATTATCTAGTCTGAGGAATAGGAAAAAATAAGAAAATAAAAATGAACATAGCTTAAGAAACCTGTAGGTTTCTTAGCGTAGCAACATACATGTAATGGAATTCCTAGAAGACAAAAAAAGAGGAGCAAAAAGAGTATTTGAAGAAATAATGGCCAAACCCCAAATTTAGCTGGGTGCAGTGGTTCATGCCTGTAATGCTAGCAATGAAAGGCTGAGGCAGGAGGATCCCTTGAGGCCAAGAGTTTGAGACCAGCCTGGGCTGTATATTGATTGAGACGCCATCTAACACAGTTGGGATGTTTTCCTCTCCAAATCTCATGTTGAAATGTGATTCCCAATGTTGCTTGTAGGGTCTTACGGGAGGTGTTCGAGTCATGAATAATGGCTTCATTCCCTCTTCACAGTAATGAGTGAATTCTGGCTCTATTCGTTCATGCAAGAGCTAGTTGTTTAGAGTCTGGCCCTTCCTGCTCTGCTTGTTCCCTCTCTTACCATGTAACATGTCAACTCCCCTTCCTTCTGCCATGGATAAAAGCTTCCTGAGGGCCTCATGATGCTGGCACCATGTTTTTTGTTTGTTTGTTTGTTTTTTGAGACAGGGTCTTGCTGTCGCCCAGGCTGGAATGCAGTGACATGATCTCAGCTCACTGCAGCCTCTGTCTCTTCCTACCTGAGCCTCCCCAGTAGCTGGGGCTACAGGTGCTCACCACAATGCCTAATTTTTGCGTTTTCTGTAGAGATGGGGTTTCCCCATGTTGTCCAGGCTGGTCTTGAACTCCTGAGCTCAAGGTATCTGCCTGCCTCAGTTTCCCAAAGTGCTGGGATTACAGATATGAGCCACCATGCCTACTCACCATGCTGTATGTATAGTCTGCAGAACCATGAGCCAAATAAGCTTTTTTTTTTTTTTTTTTTTTTTTGTGAGACGGAGTTTCCCTCATGTTACACAGGCTGGAGTGCAATGGCGCGATCTCGGCTCACCGCAACCTCCGCCTCCTGGGTTCAGGCAATTCTCCTGCCTCAACCTCCTGAGTAGCCGGGATTACAGGCACGTGCCACCATGCCCAGCTGATTTTTTGTATTTTTAGTAGAGACGGGGTTTCACCATGTTGACCAGGATGGTCTCGATCTCTTGACCTCGTGATCCACCCGCCTCGGCCTCCCAAAGTGCTGGGATTACAGGCGTGAGCCACCGCGCCCGGCCCCAAATAAGCTTTTTTTCTTCTCTCTCTCCCTTTTTTTTTTTCTTTGAAATATTGTCTTGCTGTGCCACCAGGCTGGAGGCCAGTGGTTTGAGCTTGGCTCACTGCAACCTTTGCCTCCCAGGTTCAAGGGATTCTTCTGCCTCAGCCTCCCAAGTAGCTGGGACTACAGACGTGAGCCACCATGCCTGGCTAATTTTTTTTTGTATTTTTAGAAGAAATTAGATTTCACCATTTTAGCCATGCTGGTCTTGAACTCTGGACCTCAGGTGATCCGTCCGCCTCAGCCTCCCAAAGCGCTGGGATTACAGCCGTGAGCTACTGCGCCCGGCCATGCCCAGCTAATTTTTTGTATTTTTAGTAGAGACGGGGTTTTACCATGTTGACCAGGATGGTCTCGATCTCTTGACCTCGTGATCCACCCGCCTCGGCCTCCCAAAGTGCTGGGATTACAGGCGTGAGCCACCGCGCCCGGCGGCTTTTTTCTTTATAAATAATTACCCACCCTCAGGCTGGTACAGTGGCTTACACCAGTAATCCCAGCACTTTGGGAGCCTGAGGTAAGCAGATCACTTGAGGTCGGGAGTTGGAGACTAGCCTGGCCAACGAGATGAAACCCTGCCCTACTAAAAATACAAACATTAAGGCCGCGCCAAGTGGCTCACGCCTGTAATCCCAGCACTTTGGGAGGCCGAGTCAGGCGGACCACCTGAGGTCAGAAGTTCGAGAGCAGCCTAACATAGTGAAACCCCGTTTTGTATTTTCTACTAAAAATACAAAAATTAGCTGTGCGTGGTGGCGCCCGCCTGTTAGTCCCAGCTACTCGGGAGGCTGAGGTAGGAGAATCGCTTGAATCCGGGAGGCGGAGGCTGCAGGGAGCCGAGATCGCGTCACTGCACCAGCCTGGCGGCAGAGCGAGACTCCGTCTCAAAACAAAAAGAAAAACAAAACAAAACAAAGGAGCGTTTAGAACGACGAACTCCGTAACTTAATTTAGGGGACGCGGGTTCCGTTTTTCACCGTAGCCGTCCTCTATGGAGAAACTGCTTGGCTTCCCGCAGACTTTGTTTAACACCTGCCAAAGTTCCACGCTCGGAATCTGCCTCCGTTTCAAGCTACTTAGGCCTCCGCAGCTTCTAAATCTCCCTGCTGTCCGGCGACAGCAAGGGGACGAAACCCCGCCCCGTGTGGAGGCGGGGCCGGACGTGAACGCCCTGCCAAACCGGGCGCCTCCCACAACCCTCTAGCCGGAAGCGGCGCCTGCCCTGACGCCCGCCTGGCGGGAACCTGGGCTCGCCCCATCCCAGGGATCCGCAGTCAATTGGTAGCGCCTGCACGTCGCGCGCGGAGTTCGATTGGCGTTGCCTGGGGAGGAGGAACCGCCGCCGCCGCCGCCGCCGCGGGCTTCGTTTGTGAGGAAGGGCCTAGGCCCGAGCTTGCCGTGGTGGGGCTTGCCGCGCGCCGGGGCTCGCCTCCTGCCGTGTCCTGCGCTCCAGCTTCGCCCACTTCTCCTTGCCAGCGGGCTGGGCGCGGAGAAGACCTGCCGGAACCATGGAGGACGAGGTGGTCCGCTTTGCCAAGAAGATGGACAAGATGGTGCAGAAGAAGAACGCGGTGAGCGCGGCGGTCGGCGCGGGCCGGGAGGGAGGCCGGGCCGAGGCCGGGTCCCAAGGGGGATCCCCTCTCCCTCTCCCTCTCCTCCCCCTGCAGCCTCCCTTCGGGGAGCCGTGCCCGGCGCCCCCGCGTCCCCGCGTCCCCAGGAGAGTGTCCGGGCCCGGGGCGCCGGGTCCCGCGGCCACCGGCGTTAGGACCCGATCGCTCTTGTATTTCCAGTCCCTCCTCCCTCGTGCCGCGTAGTAAACCTGATCGATTTAAGGATTAGGGCACATTCTCCGTTGATTTTAAACTTTCGTAGTAGTAAAACCTCGGCAGTTTAGCTTAAGAATTGAAGCGTAGAAAGTCCTCAGAATTTGAAAGAATGCACTCTTCAGCGATCCGAGGCCAGCATCTAGAATGAGCATCAAATAGAGGCTTGTGATCAGTTTTAGGCATCAGTCTGGTGACATGTAAAACTCCTGGATCTCGTTTTTGAAGAGGGCTAAGCATCCGTCTGGTTATCTCAACTACGCTACATGTTTGCTGAACGATTAAAAAGGTAAAATGTGCCAGTCTCTTGGCAAGCTGCTAAACGTTTTATAAAAAGTGGGTCTTGTCCTGTCGTAATGTGCAGAAGAGTTATGACCAAAGCACGCACACTCACCGGAGTGCTGGTAGAGAGATTTGCACAAATTATATTGTAGGGTGCTTTCTGAGTGGTTTGCAGTTAATGCTGGGGGCATTTTCTTGTTATTGATGCATGTTTATGTGAGCATGTCCTTTTGTGGTTTGTAAGAAGTCATACGACCGGTTTCTACAGTTTGTCCATTTGTGTGGCACTTCTCAGTCCACCTGGCTTCAGACTCATCTGTTCTCAGCTAAACTTCTATAATTGTTTTCACCTAAATTTGTCCCACCACGCTCGGCACATTTTACCGTCAATATACCTGAAATAATTTTCTTCCATCTATGAAATAAATTCCATGTCAAACTAATGTGAAGAGAAAAGGAGTGCTCTCATTTGTACTGCACTTTGGAGTTAAATAGCATCCGTGCAAAATTCTTTTGTGACTCACACAGAGCTGTGAGTACATAAAGGGTATCCATTTTACAGGTTAAGACACTGAGAGAGATTAAATACTACTACTCAAATTAGGTACTGTGTATTTGGAATAAGCCAGGACCCAGGTTTTCTTCTGGACAGCATGGTTTCCACATGACAGCTAGATCAGGAATTAGTGTTAGCAGTAAGTACGAAAGACTTTTAGCAACCTCTGTTCCCTTTTTTCCTTTAACAGGAAATACTGGGCATTCTCCAGTATTTCATTTCATACCCTTTACTCTGTCTTTGAAATTTTGGCCTTTTAAGTATGTCCGGCCCAGAGCGGTGGCTTACGCCTGGCATCCCAACACTTTGGGAGGCCGAGGTGAGTGGATCACGAGGTCAGGAGTTCGAGACCAGCCTGACTAACGTGGCAAAACTGTCTCTACTAAAAATACAAAACAAACAAACAAACAAAAACTTAGCCAGGTGTGATGGCGGGCGCCTGTAATCCCAGCTACTCAGGAGGCTGACGCAGGAGAATCCTAGAACCTGGAAGGTGGAGGTTGGGTGAGTGGAGATGACGCGACGGCACTCCAGTCTGGGCAACGGAGCGAGACTCCGTCCTCCACTCCACCCCCCGCCAAAAAAATAAAATCTCCTGTTCGTTTTCTGTTATAGATATTACCAGTGCCATGCCCCCCCCCCATTGATATGCCCCTTCATTCCCCACTTCAAATTCTTATTTGATCAGTTATGTGGTTATTGGAACATTTCCGTTACTTTGTTTAAACCGGAAAATTTTTCTCTGTGCCTGGAGATCCCCAGACTTGCACAGCAGAAGCTCCCAGGGAAAAAAGCCATTTGTTGGGTAATTTTCTCTCCAACTTAGGCTGTAATATGTATCGTTTAATCATCTAATGCATTAGGTGTTTGCTTGATTTTCCTTCTTTCCTTTTAATAGGTGTTTCTTAAAACACCTTAGTGGACAAGTGTGGAGAAGATAAGTTCATATTTACCTGCAGTTCTCAAATTGTCAACGGATGTTCAGATCTTTTGTAATGAGCCTGCAAGAAAATGAGAATAAACCCCACAGATAATCCTCAAATCTAAATTTTCTTCTCAAATCTAAGTTTTCAGATAATTCAAAACTTTACCAATATGAAAACTTGCCTCCCAAAAAGAAAAGTAAAACTGACTGGCTTTTACCTCCCCCCGCCCCCCATCATTTTCCCTGCCTGTCCTCTGGAAATTCAAACAGGCTGATGAAATACAGAGAAAGAGAAATGGTCAGAATGACACTCCTCTTTCCCCAAATACAACCACAGATGTTTTTTTAAGTGTTCAATAATTCAACAGAAAGTGTTTTAGGGGTTGTAGAATTATGGTATATTTGCTTCTCTTTTTTTCTGTGGTTTTCAGGTTTTTCTCTCAACTTTTTAAAATATTTTATATTATGAAAAAGTTAACTTGGTTTTTTTTTTTTGTTTGTTTGTTTGTTTTTTCCTGGAGACAAAGTCTCGTTCTGTTACCGAGGCTGGAGTGCAGTGGCACAGTTTTGGTTCAGTGCAACCTCTACCTCCCGGGTTCAAGCAATTCTGTTGCCTCAGCCTTCCTAGTAGCTGGGACTACAAGTGTGTGCCACCATGCCTGGATAATTTTTGTAATTTTAGTAGAGATGGGGTTTCAGCATATTGGCCAGGCTGGTCTCAAACTCCTGACCTCAGGTGATCTGCCTGTCCTGGCCTTCCAGAGTGCTGGGATTACAGATGTGAGCCACCACACTCAGCCTGAAAAAGTTAATTTTGAAGAGTAATAGTTGTCATCAGAATTGACAAATTTAAGTGCTAATGTGGGTATCATTTAAAAAATATTTTAACATGCTGCTGCTTTACCTGGCTCATTTCGTTTTAATAAAACCATAGCTGTCACACTTAACGAAAATAAAAACAGCTGCCATTTATTGAGCCATTACTCTGAGGCAGTTATTTCTGCTAAATACTTACCCACCTTATCCCATTTATTCCTCAGACAACTTTGTAAGATGAATATTATCCTCATTCTGAAAATGAGGATCCCAAGTATTTAGAAAAGTTAACTGAATTGTCTTAAGCCAGATAGCTAGTAAGTGGCCAAGATGAAGATGTGAATCTAAATCTGTTTTGCTCCAAAGCTAGCACTGCTCTGTTAAGCTACAGTGTCTCTCTAGAAGACCCTTGGTCTGTTTTTGAACCATGCATGGATACAGTTAAGTGAATATAAAATCAAGAAGTAAGGGTATGAACTTGCTGTTTTGGGGCAGGTGAGTTTCCCTAAATACCTAGATCAACATCCTGACCCTAGTTCTACCCAGGATGTTGTCCCACATGTGTACTTGATCTCAAGCAGTCTTCTCAGCAGTTTTACAAGTGCACATGACCAAGCCACAATGAACCACAGAAAGTAGTTTGAAATTTTTAGGTATCACCTGTTTTCTGCTTAAGCTTTTTTCTTGTTGCTTTGATTTGATATCGGTAACTAAGTCTGACTCCTAATGTGGGTTTAAATCCTGGTTTTTCTGAACTTTAGCTTTGTGATTTTAGGCAAGTTTTTTGTCAACCCTAAAATGTTCTTCGTCATGGTAAATTGGAGATACATAGTAAAAATTAAGTGAATATAAAATGCTTCTCCTGTAGGATTGTAGACCTAAAGTATGTACTAAGGCCCAAAAAACAATCTGAGGCTGCCTTTCTTTGTAAAGGATTCATGTAGCTTATAGGAGGAGTGAGGCAAGAACATAAAGTTTTGAAGTTTATGGAGAGATTTTGTAGGTAGTGTTGAGGTTTATTTATTTCATTGAAGGCCCAAGTTTGGGTGAAATTAAATTGCAGGGAGAGAAATTGAAATTAGATGTTAGAATTTCCTAGGAGCTGGGATACCTGAAATATTTACATTTATAAGTACCTGGGTTAAAACAACAACTGCGACAAAACTTTCATATCTATATCAGAGTTAGATTAATTGGCATAGCTGTGCAATTTTTAATAACAGCTTTATTGAGAAATGCAGTGAAGTTCACTCTCATAGTTGACTCTTGAACAATTCAGGGGTTATGGTTCTTACCCCATCCCCTCTCCCTACCCACATGCAGTCGAGTAGTATAACTTTTGCAGTAGTATAACTCTTGTAGTCATGTAGTCAGTATGAGTCAGCATGAACCAGCAGTATAACTCATGCTGTCAAGAGTATAACTTTGACTCCTAAAACACAGCCTACTGTTGAACAGAAGCCTTACTAATGATAACTTAAACCGTAGATTAACACATTTTATATATGTATTATACATTTTTTTTTTTTTTTTTTTTTTTTTTTTTTTTTTTCTAATTTTTTTTCCCAGGCTGGAATGCAGTAGTACTATGGCTCAGCTCACTAGAGTCTTGACCACCTGGACTCTGGTGATCTTCCCACCTCAGCCTCCCGAGTAGCCAGGATTATAGGCATGTGCCACCACACCTGGCTAATAAACTTTTTTGTACTTTTTATTTTTTTGAGACAGTCTTGCTGTGTCACTCAGGCTGGAGTGTGGTGGCATGATCTGGTCACTATAACCTCCACTTCCTGGGTTCAAGCAGTTCTCCCACCTCAGCCTCCCAAGTAGCTGGGACTACGGTGCGTGCCACCACCACACCCAACTAATTTTCTATTTTTAGTAGAGATGGGGTTTTGCCATTTTTCCCAGGCTGGTCTCTGCATCCTGACCTCAAGTGATCCACCTGCCTTAGCCTCCCAAAGTGCTGGGATTACAGACATGAGCCACTGCACTCAGCTTTTTTTTTGTATTTTTTGGAGAGATGGGGTTTCACCATATTGCCCAGGCCATTCTAGAACTCGTGGACTCAAGTGATCTGCCTGCTTTGGCCTCCCAAAGTATTGAGATTACAGACGCTCAGCCTGGGTGACAGAGTGAGACAATGTCTCAAAAAAAAGAAAATTATAA